TTTCCTTATAAGTCCAACTGGACGCCAAGGGCCTTCGTAATCAGCCAGGGGCTCAAAAGTTATTAGTTCACTTGTTTTACTTTACAAGACCGGAATGTAACAGGGATGTCTTAGTGTGACCTCCCGCAAAAGTACAGATATTTACGTTTTCTCATTGTGGTCTTTACAGTGTGTGGAGCATCAAGAACTTAAAAGAAGCATATCATTAAGTAAAGACCCTGACAAGTCACATGACACTCGTCAGTGGTTGTCATAGGTGGATCCCAAGGGAACAGTTGTTAGCCTGTGCATGCTGTCAAGACAGACGGGGTCGCCCAGAACCAGACAGTTCCAGGATACATTTCCTCTCTTCCTGTGTCTTGCCTTTAAGTGAGTGCAAAGTGTGTCCTTGTGTCATTATCAGATTGGACACACGCATTTCACAGAGGAGATGAAAGTGTTCCTTTTCGCTCGTAACATCTGCCTTCTGATGGTTTGCGTCCCATCAAGATGACCTCAAAGACATAGCCTGAGGAGAGCGATTATCACCATACGCACTCTGGTCTCGTCATGTGATCACATGCTTGTGTGGATGTTTGTGCCCAAGTGTGTGTGTGTGTGTGTTTGTGAGAAAGAAGAGGCATGAATTTGTGTGTTTGCGTGCATGTATTTTACTGAATATATCTGTGCAGACATATGGCCTAATATGCATGTCAACTCTCCAAAGAGCAGTGATAAGGGATCAATGTCAAGGGTCAAAGTGTCAAACACAGCTTACCAAGCCATTTCACTTTCATGACGTTGCCCTTCAGATGTCAAAAAAAGACTTGCCTCTGTTCTGAACACTCACATGCAAACACTGTTGGATCTTCACTCAAGTTGAGACAAATGGCATTATGAAAGAGAGCAGTACAAGGCCCTTATTAAAGAATAAATGCTCACTAACTCCCTCTGGTGTATTAAAGTGTGAATGCAACAAGGAAAGGATACGATGAAACATACATACATACAGTTTAAATTGGAAAATCATTTAAACTATTTAAAAAAAATACATTTCATATAAAAAAACTATTTGGTTTGTTTGTTCTTGTTTATAAATTGCTTGCTAGTTAAGTTACAATGTAGAGCCATCTTTGTTTTTCATTTTCAAATGGCCACCAGTAACTGTCATGGGACCAGACTATATTGATTTTCAACAGTAGCAGTATGACTAATCAACACATTGGTGCATGCAGCTCTATCAGGGATGATGCCTGTCAGATGATTGCAGTATAAGGAAAAAAAACTATGCAGTATCAGTCTGTGTTTTTGATTTTTAATTGGATTTTTTTAGGGGTTCAGTTAAATCTGATACACTTACACTATAGTGGCTGAGATGGACCGAGGATTGCCCTCCCCCAGCTTCCTCGCTGGCTGCAGCTATTCCTCCTTCATCTATCCACTCCACATCCATCTTCCTCATCTTGATCGTTCTCTTCTCCCTCGCCATCCCATACTGACGCAAACAAATGAGAGGAGGGAACTCGACTGCGAAGGAAACAAGGCCTGAAGGGACAAGCTGAGGGAGAAGTACAAAGAGCTAAGGCCAAAAATAGTGGTGAGACAGACAGCTGGGAGGAAGGGAAACTTTCACTGTACTTTAACTCCAAACTTCCCCAGAAATGTATCCAAAACAACTGGCAGCACTGCAGACAACTCTTACACCCCCTGAATCAGTGCTGCAAACGACTAATACCACCTACAATAGTTTTTATGAAACTTTATTGCGGTAAAGCATGATAAAGCATCTTTATGTCTATACTCTTTAATACAACTGAGACCGGCGTGCAAAAGCTACTACAAATCCTGAAAGATATACCCGTGAGTTATAGTTAGGTATTCCTGAAGTAAATGTGACGGGGTCAGTTTTAGTGTTGCATGTTTTGTTATTTTGTTTACTTTGCTGTGATTTGATGTTTACTTAGTTGGGATTTATGTTGAATCGCATGTTGTGTTTCTTTTTTACGAACTAACCTTGAACTACACACGGACTCACCAGCAGCAGACTAATTAGCGCAACGAGCCACAGGTGGTGGCGAGCGCAGGTGCACCGTTTTTATTCAGAAAGCGGAAGTGAAGCGAAAGCACAAATCTTTGTTGGGTCAAAATGAGAATCACCACTTGATTGCTAAAGTAGTATTACAGTTTTTACAAGATACAGGGCTGTATATGAAAATTTGAAGCAATAATATTATCCTTTAGAGTGACTTCCTGAGTAATACGCCTAGAAGCGTCTAAACTGCCGGAAATCCAAATGAAGAAGAAGAAGCGAAAGCATGCCGGGAAAATCTTAAGATTTTAATTATTTTAATTAGTTTCTTTTTTCAGTGCCAATACTTGTTTCAATGCCAATACAACTGTTTTCA